TAATTAATGAGAAGATATACATGCCTATATGGATTAGATTGTGCTTGAAGGAAAAAAAAGTGATTTGAATTAGATAACAAATGAAAATACATTGGTAAACTCGGTGAAAAGTGAGAAGATAATCAACAGCCCATTTTGTCCAGTTCTATGGGTTTGTTTGCTTTTTAAGTAAGGAAGCACGCATAATCATTCTTTTACTCCGGGTGTGACTTTGGTGTGCACAGCATGTATGTGTGTGTATGTGTGGGCTCATGCACCAATGAATACATGAGCAAGGGTGTCCGGTATCCTGCCCTGCCACTCTCCAGCTTATTCCCTTGAGACAGTCAGTCCCCACTGAGCCTGCAGCTAGGCTGGTAGTCAGCCGGCTGCGAGGATCCTCCAGCCTCTGCTTACCACTGTGACGGTGACAGGCCCTTGCAGGCATGCCTGGACTTTTACGTGGGGGCTCAGTGTTTGAACTCAGCTCTCCCTGCTTGCACAGCACCTGCGCTTACCTGTGGCGCCATCTCCACAGTTGCTGGACACATGATTTTAAAGAAGGGTATGTTTCTTCATGTTACATGTTATATATGTGTTTCAAAAAGGAACATTTTATTATTCTTAGTTTTTTACTTGACTGCTGCAATGCCGCAAAGCCCTGGCCAGCCAGCTTGCAAAGCCACTGAGGGTTAAATCTGAACAGGGGTAAATTTTGTGTTATTTGCGAGATGCCTCACACCTAGCTAGAGAAATGAGGAATGTCTGTTTCCAGATGTCCGGGCAGAAGAAGGGCAGGGCAAGTTTCACTTAGTCCCTTTTAGGGAGGTACAGCTGTAACGGTGGCCTAGGTGGAGCCCCAATTCCTGGATCCTGAGCTGAGTAAAAACAGCAATGGTTGGAACTGTCGAAGTTAGTGGGAAAACCCCAGAAAACTCCTAACATAAACTGTCTCTTTATTCTGAAAAAGATTTAGAGCATGCAAATAAGAAAGGGGAGAAAACGAATGCCCTTTGGAGTGGCAGTTCTGGTGTTAGTTCCACATGTGTCACTCCATTCTCCCTGTTAGTGTGTGCTTTCTAGAAATATGAGAAGGAAATCACACACACACACATACACACACACACACACACACACACACACACACACAGAGTTTGTACCCTGCTCTTATCCACTACCAAAATGTAACATCTTTCTGTCTCATTAAATATTCACGCTGTCACAATGTCCTACTGTCTTGTCTGTGTCATTCAGCATTTATATAACTGAATTCTGATTATTGGCTTATTGGTCCTCCCTTTTTATTGAAGAGATTATTCATACAAAAATTTTAGCTATAGCATAATTTTTGTATACTTCCAATGAAAATGAAACAAAGCTTAGAGCAATGTAAACATTTCTAATGAAGTGCCCAAGTTACGAACAGCTCTGTAATTTTTCTACAGACTGTCTTTTTAGGGAACAAGAAAACACTTCTTCACATATACAGAAAGGTTCCTTAGGGTGTACGTGGTAGGAACACCAGGTGATACCGAATTTAACAGAATGGGGAAATTTGGGCTAAGGTACCAGTCATGCATTGCTTCCACAATGCCGCAAAACAGCCAGCCACAAAGCTTGTGTGACATTCTTTGAAGTACCGAGGGTGTGTGTGTGTGTGTGTGTGTGTGTGTGTGTGTGTGTGTGTGTCTCAGCCCATCTCAGCTGGGTTGGGCATGCATCTGTGCCCAGCTACTGAGAAGGCAGCTCCACTCAACTGGACGGGGCTTGCTTTCACATCTTGGGGTTGGTGGGCTGCAGGCAGGGACAACTTATTTTCTCTCCTCTGGGTAAAGCATACTCTACCAGGTAAGACTAAAACAGGCAAGAGAATACGTACATACATAGGTGCTATTCCCAAAGCCAGCTTCTGTCCCACTCACATTTATTTTATTCTCGCTTGATCAGCCAAAGCAAGTCCTAGGACTGAACCTAGAACGGATTAGGAGGTTAGGAGGGCTCTATGAAGAAGACAGATAAGGAAGGGCTGTGCGCAAATGAGAGGGCTCAGCAGGCAAAGGTACTTGCTGCTGTTCTGATGGGCCTGACATGGTGGAGGGAGAGAACTGACTTCCCAAAAGTTGCCCTCTGACCTTCCCACAGATGTTCTTATATACAATACATAAATGAAGGCAAAAGGAAGGAAGGAAGGAAGGAAGGAGAAAAGGAAAGAAGGAAAAAAGGAAGGAAGGAAAGAAAGAAGGAAGAAAGGAAGGGGGTCAAGACTTGGGGCCAATAATGCTGCCAGTCTATCTGGCAGCCGTAACTAAAGTGGCCTGGGGAGAGTTGGAGCTTCAGTAGATGCTGATTCAGAATATGAAATGGCATCTTCTTGGTTGGCTTCACACACTTCCAAATGTCTCTCTGCTTTCCTTGGCTCTAGCTTCACTCCCACAGAGTAGTGTTCAGAGGTCTATGTTTTATTGATTATACACAGTGGGTTTTATTAGTACATTTTTATAATGTACTGGTGTATCGTGATTGTGTTTGCTCCTCATTACCTTTTCTTGTCCATCTCTACTCATGGTGACACCCTTCTTCTCCCAACTACCCCTCCCCCATTCTACTTTCACATGCTGTCTGATTATTTTGTGTCAGTGTATGTGCACGTGTGTGTGTGTGTGTGTGTGTGTGTGCGTGAATGTGCTGTGACGCATCTGTAGAGGTGAGAGGACAACTTTCTCGAGAGTTGGATCTCTCTACTGTGAGCTCTGGAGAACAAACTCATGTCATCAAGTTTGCAAGGCAAGCACTTTTACCCACTTAGCCACTGTGAAGCATTGAGTTTACTAAGGGTTGCTTCCATGAGCATGGGCAAGGGTGTGTTTATAGGAGCACGGATACCTTTCCAGTGGCTGCATCACTGAAAAAACCCTTTCTCTCATTAACCATAAGCTGCCCATAGACCTTCAGGGAGGGATGGGACCTCTTAGGTCTCTCCCCGACGTGGTTGTAGAATGTGGGCAGGTCTTGGCAGGTACCCTTCGTCACTGTGAGTTAGGAGTACTTGGAAGTCAGTGTTCTGTACCACCCACTCTTGTCCTCTGATCTTTCCATTCTTTCTGCTTCTTCTGTAATGTTTCCATAGCCTTGAAGGACATGAGGCAGACGCCCCATTTAGGGGCTGAGCCATTCAGTTATCGCTTTGAGGGTCCCATCTTGAAAACAAATAACTCTGACTGAAGATGATCTCATCTTTCCTATTTCATTCCTCCTGACATCACAGGGCGGAGTCTTTCTGGACCAGTGGAGTATGCACCATCCCTTGAACTACTTACCAAGTCTGAAATGGAGTATAATGATTAGATAGTCTTGGGTTACAGTCTCACCTCTGACTATCCAGAATGGAGCAGTGGGAGTCAACCTCATCTAGTCCTTATAACTAGGATTATGGGTTTAAAAACAGTTTCTTTTGAGGAAAATGCAGATTGCATTGCTAGAAAGTGTGTGTAGAGGTGGGAGGAAAGATAAATGGTAGGCAGATGAAAATAAAAAAAAGTGCCTTTATGTGCTGTTTATAATGTTTTAATCTCATTGAAACACTAGACAAAAGCTATTTATTTATTTTTGCGAAAGCTGTTTATTGACTATTCTGCCAGGTAGCAACAAGGAATTTTATAGATAGCATTTTATTGATAATATGATGAGTTAGATGGTGGTTTTCTTCATTTTATGTACTGAAGAGTAAAAGCTCATGACAGTTTTTAAAATTTGCCCAAGGTCACTCTTCTGTATTAGAGTGGAGATTTCAACCTGTTTGCACCTCTCTAGACTCTGTGCTCCCATTGCCAAGGACTTTGCCAAAAGGAAAGCAAATCATGATGAAGATTTCCTGACAGTAGGAGGCTGTGAAGCACTCATTAAGGCCAGTTGAGTGCCAGCATTGAAGTGATAATTGTAGCCCTATGGCCCCAGCTACAAAACTCTGTCCTGATATACCTGACTCACCGTGATAGGGAACCTCTCGTACTTTTCCGTAGGAGTTAGGGGGTTGGGAACGCTGACCTACAGTGTTGTTCCCTGGGCCATTTCTGTATGTGTGGAAAGAGGTTTGTGTGAGGATGAAGGTCAACTAATTGGAAAAGAACTCTGAAATGACCAGTCTGGGAGATATATGACTGGGGAAGAGACAAAAAGGGCTGTTTACCCCATGACAGCTTTGAGAATCTGGCCATATGTGCAGGTGTCTTGCTGGTTGAAACATGTCTTGATTTTAGCTCTGAGACGGCCATTGGGCTCCAAATTATGTGTCAATGCCAGCTGAATTGTGGGAAGATATATGGAGGGCTGTGTTGGGCACAGTGGAAAGGAGGTCTCTGGTGGATACTGATTTCTAAGGGCACAGGAGGAGAAAGGAAAGCACACATGTCAGCTTTTAGATATTCAACGAAGCAGTGGTTTCTCAGTCATTGTAAAGCCATTTGTAGTTGAAGGTCACGTCCCTAAAGATGGGTTATTTTATTGCTGAAGTCCATATGGTGAACTTTTTGGATTTCCAAACCTTACTTAGTACAAATCCAGGGGGAGAATTTTATTTTCCCAAGGAAAAAAGAATTTCCTTTTTGCTTTGATAACTTTAGACTTTGGGGTCAGGGTGGGAACATTTATTTTAAAAGTCTACATGTAGTAAGAAATGTTTCATGATTATTTTTCTTTTTAAAACACACACACATACATATATATATGGACACCACCTATATATCATCTATCATCTCTCTCTATCTATGTATCCATCTATTATCTAGCATTTTGCCACTAATTTATCATCATTAATTTCTATATATTTATCATTCATCCATCATTCTCTCTATCTGTTGTTGTATCTAGATTTTTTTTTTTCAGTGCTGGGACTTGAACCCAGGATCTTGTGCTTTCTAGGAGGGCATTCTACTACTTCTATCAATATATTTTAAGATGTGATGCAGTTGCAGTTAGAATCCTAAGGAAGTTTGTTTTTAATTATTCTTTTTCTCATTTTGCAGATCTCTGAGTGGAGTCATTTCCTGGTGCAGGACCACACAAAGAACGCGGTGAAAGTTCTAGCCAGGAAAGGAAACATTGGCTTAAACCCTAAGGTTGCCTAGCATTTCTTCTCTTTGGTAGCACCACATCACAGGAGAAAAATGTACGGGAGTGCAAGAACAATCACCAATCTGGAAGGTAGCCCTTCCAGATCACCACGGCTGCCAAGATCACCTCGTTTGGGCCACCGAAGAACAAGTAGTGGGGGAGGGGGAGGAACAGGCAAGACTCTGTCCATGGAGAATATCCAGTCCCTTAATGCAGCCTACGCCACGTCTGGACCCATGTACTTGAGTGACCACGAAGGGGTGGCATCAACGACTTACCCGAAGGGGACCATGACCCTGGGCAGGGCCACAAATCGAGCTGTGTACGGAGGCCGGGTCACAGCCATGGGGAGCAGTCCCAACATTGCTTCCGCCGGGCTTTCCCACACGGATGTCCTTTCGTACACGGATCAACACGGAGGGCTGGGCGGCTCCTCCCACCACCACCACCAGCTGCCGTCCATGTTGAGGCAGGTAAGGGACAGCACAATGTTGGACCTGCAGGCCCAGCTCAAAGAACTGCAGAGGGAGAACGACCTGCTACGGAAGGAGCTGGACATCAAGGACAGCAAACTGGGGTCTTCCATGAACAGCATCAAGACTTTCTGGAGTCCGGAGCTCAAGAAGGAGAGGGTCTTGAGGAAAGAGGAGGCAGCTCGGATGTCTGTCCTCAAGGAGCAGATGAGGGTTTCTCATGAGGAAAACCAGGTAGGTTGTCACAGCGCGCTCAGGCTTTGCAGACGGCTCCAGACTTACTGTATGTACCAAGGAGGCTGAGCACCACAAAGAAGGTTAAGGCTTAATATGTTTCACCTGGGTGCCACAGCCAGCCACACAGGAAGTACTGTGCCATATTGACTGAATTCCTTGTTCCAGTAACCTTTCCACATAGTTGCAGAGGTGGGGAGGATTGGCCCTCATTGCCAACTTTTGTGCGTGGCTAATTTTGTTCTCTTTTTCAGCAATTGCAACAGCAGTTCAGATGTTCTCCCTCAGACTAGAAGAGGAAAATGCTAATCTCTGCAAGAGTAAACACTTTACATTAAAAGGCCACACTTGACTGGTGAATTTTTACTGTTTGTTATTGTTTTTGCAGTTGAGACAGCGTTGTTTCTTAGAGCAGTTCTATAAATAGCAAACTCAATGGTATGAGACAGGATTGGGAAGAGTGGGTTTGACACCGTGTAAGGGAAACCCAGCTCGTCTTAACTTGGTCTCTATCCTTTATCCATTCAGTATTTATGTACTATGTGCAAGGTGTGTTCTTAGTCTTTGATCCAGCGTCTACATTTTAAGAAAATGAGTGAGCTAGTTTCCCAGAGTCTTCCTGAATTTGGCTGTTCCCCTTCTTATATCCCCCTGTTCCCTTGTTAACAGTCGTATCCAGAAGGCAGTGTTCCTCCTTGACTGAGCCTACAGCACCTTCTACTGGAAGATGTGGGCCAGTCGCACTCTGTACCACCTCCCTCCATATCTGAGCTATCTGCTCCATCCTTGTTCTCCATGCTCACAGCTGAGGTTCCCTTCCCGCTGTTAGCGTCCCCAACACCCTTTTCCCTTTCAGCCCCGCTGGGCCGTCTTTCATCTTCTCAACTATACACTACTGTACCTGCCTTACACACTACTATTTTCACAAGTGCTCTGGAACCTATGCTTAAATCTCAGTTTCTTCCTGGAGATGAGAGGGAGCTAAGAGAGAGCTAAGGCTGAGAAGAAGGTGCTGTGACATTTGGCTTATGAACTCCCAGGCAGCGTTCCATTCTCTGTTAGTCTGAGATAATTCAACCTGGCTGAAGGAATGGCTCTTTGACAGCCAGTCTTGCTGCCGGGCTGTGCTACACCCTACCTTTCATCTGCTGACCCTCCTGTCTGATTCTCTCAGCTGCTAGCGCTTTGGAGCTAAGCACCTTGCTCACATTCATGACTTGTATGAAGAACTGTTCTTATTGGCTTTCCATGTGTTGTGAGCAGTCGCCTTGTCTCTGACTGTCTGGCAGACGTGGAAAATGTTTCATTTTCCAGAACCGAGAGCTCTGTACTGTTAAGTCAAATTAATGTTCTTGACCACCGTGTCTGCTGTGTTCTGGTTTGCTGGTTCGTGAACTCCTCGTGAACCTGTAGCGTGCGTTTCCCTTCTGCTCTGTATTGTTTTTCTCCTCTCTCTAGCTTTTCTTTTCTTTTCTTTTCTTTTCTTTTCTTTTCTTTTCTTTTCTTTTCTTTTCTTTTCTTTTCTTCTTAAAGTAGTTAAAGCAGTTCATCAATGATGAAAGCAGTGGCAAAAACTTGAAGGGAAGCCTCTGGTCTGTCAGCTCTGAAGGGACGTTTATCCTCTGCTTCTGTGCTGACTTTATGTTTGAGCAGCAATCCACATTTATTCATGTAAGCTTATTTGTTTGCAAATGACATTGTGCCACAGTGCTGGTGTGTTATGGGCCTTCATTGATATTCACAATAATATACGGATGACACAAAGTAATGTGAAGTAAATTTCAGTGATGTTTTTTGTTTTTAGTAAAAAGCACATTAAAACTCTTGATCTGTGCTATTCCAAGGTAAGGAATAAAACATTAACAAAAAGTGGCTTTTCTTTTCTTTTTTTTTTTTAAATGGTAATCTCTTTTCTTCCCTCTTAGATGTATATTAGGATCCTTTTAGAGTTGTATGCATCCCTCTTGCTCAGGATAGAATAGGCTCTTCTGGACTGACAATAGACCTCAAATCTCAGTGGCTTAACACATAGATCTTTTGATCTATGTGTTTACCCTTCCTTTCTTCCCCCCTCTTCTCCCTCCTTCCCTCCCTCCCTCTTCTCCCTCCTTCTCTCCCTCCCTCTTCTCCTTCCCTCCCTCCGTCCCTCTGTCCCTCCGTCCCTCCCTCCACCTCTTTCTTCCTTTCTTTCTAGCATCTCACTATGTATCCTGGCTGGCCTAGAACTCACTCTGTAGACCAGACTGGCTTTGAACTCAGAGATCCACCTGTCTGATTTCTGAGTTCTGGGATTAAAGGTATATGCCACCACACCTGGTGCCTGATACTTACTTCTCATTCCCTAAGGTATGAAGCAAGTCAAATGACTCTCCATCGCAGATCTTTTCTAAGTGAAGACACAGGGCCCAGGGTTTCCGCGTCTGGGTGGCTCTGATTGGAATTCCAGGGCAAGAGGTTCCTGAAGATGACACATTGACTGCTTCATTCTCCGGAGTGGCACAGCTTAAGGAAGTGGGGTGATGGTCTTTTTCTCTGAGAGAGAGAAGATACGGGCACGGGTCAGCAACTGCATCTGTAGGTTTTCAGCTTTGTCATAAAAGTGGAGCTGGTTAGGCATGTTGGCAAATGCTTACATTCCTAGTATTTTCGAGGTGGAGGTAGGAAGGTGAAGGGATAGATGTTGTCTTTGGCCATGGAGGAAGTTCAAGGCTAGCCTGGCTTACATGTGTCAAAGAAACCGGAGGGGACAAACAATTGGAAAGTAGTGAATGTGGAGGAAATAAAGGTTGGGGATCAGTCTAGACTTCTGTTGCTGTTCCCATTTTACTGCTGCTGTAGCTGGTGGCAATCTTTGAGGGCTTGTGATGTTACGAGTTGAAGGTTATGTACGTCATCATTCAACTCCTTGAATCAGTTTCCTGAGGCCAGCACTAGAGGTTTCTTACCTAAAAGACACATGAAAATGTGGAGAGAATGGAGGGCTTGCCAAGATTTACCAAGTTGGAAGGTGGAGCTGGACGTTGCTTTAGTCAGGCTCTTAACTTTGCAGTTGGCTCAGTGGGAGCACTGAGCTGAGAGAGCATTAGCAGAACACAGTGGTTCTCAACCTTCCTAATGCTATGACCCTTTAATACACGTTGTGGTGATCCCTACCATAAAATGACTTTCCTTGTCTACTTCATAACTGTAATTTTGCTACTGTTATGAATCATACTGTAAATATTTTTGGAGCTAGAGGTTTGCCAAGAGTGTCACAACCCACAAATTGAGAACCACTGGTTATATTTGATGAAAAAAATAAGTTGCAATGGAACTTAACCTCTGAGCCATCTCTCCAGCCCCTATAAGTTCCAGTGGAATGATTAAGAATTTGGTTTAGTTTATTTAGTATTTTTATTCTTAATTAGGAACTTATTTTCTCTAGAAATGGTTTTGATGCTGTTTCTAATCTCTACCTAACTTAGGAAGAGAAAGGTTTATTTCAATTCATGTTTTGAGGGTTCAGGCCAAGGTTGAGTGGAGCTATTGTTCTGGACCCCTGGTAGGCAGAGTGGGTGGCAGTGGTGGAGAGAGTGTGGAGAAGGAACCTGCTCCATTTCACAGTTCCCTCTACGGGTCTGCTTTCAAGGACCCCCAGACCTCTTACAAGGCTCCCTGTAGCACCACCCTTGGGACAAAGCCTTTGACATTTGGGGTAACGCTTACTCAAACAGTATCAGCACCACTTACTATTAACTGTATCTTCCCTTTATAGGTAAAGGAAAAGCACAGCACCTTTTTCTGTGGGTAGCAAAGGGATTCAGAGCTCTTGAGAGACACTTCTCTGTGGTTTCTTAAGCGTAATAACCAGAAACTGCAGCTGCGCATGTCAGTATGGACCAACGACGGTGCATATTAGAGTCTAAAACAGTTTGAACTGTGCTACATGAAGAGAAATGGGAGGGGGACCCATTAGAGAAGGGAGGGGAGGAAACTTGTGTGTGCTTGTCTGTGACATTCTTAGTTTTATAAAGTTGTCTCCAACCAGCACAGACATGTGCTCTCAGGTACAGTTCACGAGGATTTTGATTTTGATGTCCTCATGGTTCTATCCATGGAGCTGAGTTCATCTCTGTATCTAAGGGAGGCTGTTGAACTGCCTCTCTATGTTAGAGAATGCTCAGGAACTACAGGGCCTATGGGTAAGTTGCACCAGATTTCTTATGTGCAAAGGATTGATGATCAGGTTCCTGGATAGAAATTTCTTCTCCTCTTTACTTCCCATCTTTTCTTCTTAGTGACACAGTCCACACAGACATTAATACATGGGCTGCTGCTGCGGGTTGCAGCTCTGAAGTATGGGGTAGCTTCATGTGTGTAGCCAGAGTACATGGCTGTAGGGCTAGCTTAATATAAGTAAAATCCAGGGTGCGTGGGTACAGGGCTAGCTTTATGTATTTAAGCCAGAGTGCCTGGATTTCAGGCGCGCTTAATGTGTGTAAACCAGAGTTCAGAATGCATGGCTACACAGCTTTTTGTTGTCATTCATGCCTTTGTTGTACGATGTGATTTTGTAAATGGAAAGAGAGATGAGCATAGTATTCTGGGAAATGCATTCTTTGGGGTGCCTGAACCCACAGCTCATGTTCTCAGCGTCATGACAATAGACTGATTTGGGGAAAGGTGAGTTTAAAATACTGATGATGAGAGACTGGAGAGATGGCTCAGCGGTTCAGAGCGCTGGCTGCTCTTGCAGAAGATGTGGTTTTGGTTCCTAGCAGCCACATGGTTGCTCATACTGTCTTTAACTCCAGTTGCAGTCAGTCTAATGCCCTCTCCTGACCTCCAGGCATTCACAGGGTGCACGTGCAGGCAGAGCACTTGTAAACATAAAAATAAAAGTGAAACATTTAAAAATATTGTTAATGAATGTCATGCTGTCATGTGGGACAACCCCTTTGTCTTTTATGGCCAGTAGACTTGTGCTAGATGTTGGTTGGCTGGTTGCTCTTACCAGGAAA